GGGCAGCGTGTGTCCTCCTGATAAGTTGTTTCACAGCCCGCTGCTGCAGTTGTAATGAAGCGTACAGATGCCGTGCGTCTCCTTCCTCAGAATTTGCAAGGAAGAGTCGCTTTTCTTACCCGATCCCCAACCGCTTGCGCGGCGTGGCCGTGTCCCGGCACGCTCGGAGCGTGGCGAGGCCGTCGCGCTGTGACCTGGCCGGCTTCGCCACACGCGCACCGAGGCGTTGCCAAAGCGTGGGTCTCTGCGAGGCCTCCCCTCCGCCAGGCTCGATTTGCAAGGGTGGTCAGCCTAAGAGCTGGTTGCACTAGTCAGGGACTTCCCCAGGTAGGGGAATTTTAACCCAGGCAGTTTGCTTCGGGTCTCAGTTCTTGTGGCATCGCTGGAAAGGTGGGGGAGAAGCTACAAAAGAAGAAAAATCTCCTGCTAGATCTTTGGTTCTTAGGCAATGCAGGAAAATCCTGGAGTCTCTGGCCTCTCATTCACAGGAGACTCCCGTTGTTATTGATGGGAGCTTTACGCAAACGAGGACTGACTAACAGCCAAAAGTTCTGGCCCTGTGAATTATGCCCATGTGGCATAATGAGGCTCAATTTGCTCATGCCATATTGAATGAAGACATAAGATTATTTTATTCTTTAACAGGAAGTGATATGATTGAATATCTTCTTAGACCTTGAAAGAATATGAGCACGATTCCTACAATCAATCATCCAAAAAAACCTGTTTGTTTTTATGGATCGTTGCCTGCTCTGAAGTAAGGTACGTCACTGGGAAGTAATTCTATACGTCATCTCGGGACTCTGTCGTTCTGCCGAAGGATTCCAGCAAACTATATCCGTGCCTGTGTCCCAATGGCATAGTACCCAAGTTATTTTACAATTCCTATAATAAAATATATCAAAACTTCAATTTATGTACAAACTATTTACTTCCGTGTTGGCAGCTGTAATAGAGAGATGTGAATAGGTGCAAAGGCCTCCCACTTTCCCCTTCTTTGCCCATTTCTATTACAACTTCATGGAGTCCTTTTCTGTCATCAGTGCAGCCCAGTTTGATTTGCAAGAATAAGTATCATAGCTTCGGATGGCGGAAGAGGTTAGCAGCCCTAACTATTCCTTCCCACACGTGTTTCATGGCTGACTGAGCCACTCTGTGAATAATCTGATGAACCAACTTCTTTACAGGATGCTGCTGTGGAGTGATGTGTTTCAGTAAGAGGCAGCAGTGATTCCACAGCTGTCTCGTGAACAGCTTGGTCTTTTGTGTGCTGCGTGCTGGGCAGACAGCTGGGGTCGATAATCTGCCGTCCCAAGCTATGCCATCCCCATTTGTGAATCATAGGCCACAGTTGGTGCTAGTTATGGTGTAGATATCCTAAGGTGGATCGAGCATGGACACTTTATAGCTCGATTTTCTGAGGAAAAATAAAGCAATTATGCTGTCTGCCTGCTCTACCACTAGTTACTTTTAAACCCCTTGGGCAGCTTCAGCCACATGCGTCAAGGATACTAACAGTACAGAAAATAAGCAGTTATGTACAAGATAGAGCTCCTATTAATGCTCACACAGGAGGAAAAGCTACAGTAGGAATTCATTTCTTAATAGATTCCAAGAATCCACATAGGCAAAGGATGTTGCAAACATGACTCATAATTTCTGCTGCTCACAGAATGATTGCTGCATGTTCAGCCCTATGAGAGCAGGTTTAGAGGACAGTGTCCTAAGAGTTTTATGGAGTTTTTAAAATTTCCACTACTGAGCATTAGTGGAGCTGGTCAGCTGCTAGAATAAACAATAGAAGTATTTTGAACCTAAGACATTGCTACAGAGCACCAACAGTACGTTTTGTAATTTCTCCATAGTGAGTCTAAGAGTTGAGCAGTCATTAATATAGATTATACTCGGCTGTGAATAATATTTTATTCAATTTAGAATTAAATGATAAAGGTCTATGAAAAAAACGCTTAAGATATCCAAACAGTTAATCACTGTTACAATCAGAACATTACCTCCAACAGCACGGAATGAGCCATATTTCATAGAAAGTCAGTCAGTCACAGAAAAGAAGTACGTCACAGCAGCCTTCGTTCCTGTCCCCTTTGCAGAGAGAGAGAGTGGATATTCCGGGGAGATGTGCTTTTTTTTTTTGGCTTTTTTTTTGTTTTGCATGTAGAACATCTAATTATAATATTTGCAAGTCTCTCACTGTCAAGATGTGTAAATCTAAACAGGACATGTATCTCAAAGAACACCTGCATCGTCAGAAGAGCAATTTGACATGCTTCTGAGCCAACTTTGTCCCTTCTTTTACTCCCAGGCCCTCTCATAAGTAGTTGAATAGAAATTTTTCAATGTATGGAAATTTGCTCTGTTAGCAAATGGTACAGTTAGGTTTTCAAACTAACATTTTTTTGGACAAATATATGTCTATTAGCAATAAGACTTGTAGGTGCAAGTGCCTGGCACTATATCTTCTACCCATTTGTTCATTAATACACTCCAGAAATAGTTTGCATAAAAATTTCAATTTCATGCCCAGCATAGAAAATAACCAGTGACAAGAGGAAACAGTGCAGAGAGAAAGTAGAACATCTTGCTGCTGACCAAATTTCCACTGATCTCTAGAGCTCAGTGGAAAGTACATAGTTATATAAACAAAATTAACTTCTCTAGGCCTGCATGGATGAGTGCTGTTACTGCTCTTGCAGAAACATATTTAAGGAATCTTATTTAAATAAGCCCCAAACAGGAACTTACCTTGTCCAGAAGAGCCAAAGAAACTGGTTTAGACAGGCAGAATATACTTGCTGTTCTTTGTTATCAACTGCATACCTCCACCTTAGTTCTGGCTGCGGTACCTTGTCTATCAGCAAGTGAAAATAAGAAACTTTTCTTGTCCAGTTTCTTTGAAAATACTGTTGGTGGCAGCTGTGCCCTAAAGCATACAAAATTAGCTATAAACACATAACATTGCACTTCTTGGAAAACGTGTGCAGATAAACAGAACAGGGGAGCTGATTTTGCTAAACAGTGACCTGTGCAGAGAAGTCATTCTCCTCCTCCTCCCCTTCTTTCCTGGCTTTTATGGTGAGACTAAAACAAGGTTTCAGGCAAGGTTTCATTTCTGGTTAAAGCATCTGACCTTGAACTAATAAAGCCAGCCAGAGGTTTACATTCTGTTCACATTTCTAAAGGAGAAAGATTTAAAAACAGCAACCAACACTCATAACATACAGCTTAATTTTAAAATAGCTTATAAGGGCTCTTAGTAGAGTTTGGGCAGCTAGATTTTTCTGATCAGATACCAAATTAGAGGTGCAGGTTGTAGTTGGAAAAGATGTAGCATTACTGCAGTGATTTTTTTTTTTGCCTTTTTGTGTATTTCAGATGTTTAAAATAAATAGCACTGCAAAACACCTCTGCCCAGCTACTGAAAACAGGGACTTTTGAAGTGTTGGGTGCTCAAGGAGGAAAGCAACGCAAAACAATGTTATCCCTCTAAAATAAGATGTGTAAAATATACGTGCCTTGCATATCTGTAGCGAGATTAAGCCATCAGGCTGGCCAAACTGTGTTAAGATATATTTGTATCTGTAAGCTAAAAGAAAAAGGTCCCATATTATCCCTGGCAATATGACTATGAATGATATATAAGCACATTGTACGGGTCTTTTTTAGACATCTTTTGTTATTGGTGCATCTCCAGCTAGTAACTGATATTTCAGGAAGTGTGAAAGACTTTATAATCCAGTATCTGAAATTTACATTTGCACTGAATATCTCTTTGCACACTTTGGCTTTAATCTTACTAAGATTTATGCATATGCTTATACTGATGCAGTGAAAACAGTCCTACAATATGCTGTGATCGCTCCTCACGGAATAAAAATGTTAAGCAGCTCTGCGTGTCTTGTCAGGTTTAGGTCCTAAACTTATTCTGGAAATGTGTGGTTACTGATGCTTTTAGTTTAAGAAAGTTTATCCTTGTTTTGTAAAAATTCTGTTAAAACCGATATATCTTTTGTCTGAAGTTTATGCTTTTATAAAGTTTCTGTCACACTGTAAACAATTTGCAGTGTTTTAGATACCAGACCTGTCCATACAGAAAACTGGTGTTCACAGGAAAGACAACATAGTCTTAAAAATAAAGTGACATTTTGAGTTGACTTCTTGATTAGCTGCTTTGCACAGGAAGAAATACTTTGAAATGACTTATGTGAAGAAATGGCTATTTTTGCTGTGCATTCCATTGCGAAGGTCTATCAGGTAGTACTGTAAGAAATATACTTTAGTGTAACAATTGTAATTGAAATTATTATGGTGAGTATATTTTCCTAAGCTATTTTACATTCAGAGCTGTTTTATTGTAACTACTGAGTACCTTAGTAGGTAACCAGACACAAATGCCACTCTCATGAATTTGCCATTTTAGTAGATAATTACTACAGTGTTGTTACTGATTCTTTAATAAACCACATTTAATTTACTTGTTTAGTGTTCTTTTCTGTTCCTACCTTTGCATTCGGCCTCCCCCTGTGTAACTTTCTTTCCTGACCTTTCATATGTCTATAGTCCATCTCCCCTGTACAGTCTTTCTTCAGAAACTACTGTGCAGACCACTATTATGCACTCAAGGAATAGCAGAAGACAAATAGTAGCTTAGACACTGGCTTGATCTGCACTAAAGACATTTGAACCAATTCGTCAATGAAGACACATAATACATGTTTCTTTGGGCAAGGTCTCATACACAGATCTGTGTGTATGGGACTACGGGGGTAGACTAGCTGACCTGTAAAAGTCCCATCCAGCTGATTTTTCTGTTTCTGAGATTTCTAAAAAGAGTAGGTGGAGGACAAACTAACAGAGGGGAAGTATGTTTACTCTCTCTTGTTTTCAGATCTCAGATATCAGCACCCTGCAATGCCAACTGAATGTGGATTTGGGAGTTGGGGGAGGACTGTTGATCAGGGCAACTCCCTTTACTTCTGCAGAAGAAGATAATGATAGTCTTTCCTTAATCACATTGTTTCGTCTTGCAATTCAGAGTGCTAGACCATGGATCCCTTATGCACCTTGAGAGGCAGCTGGCTTTAAGAGAGAGCCCTATCTGAACAATTCATGATAGTTAATAAAGAAAGCACTTGAGGTCTGGAGCAGTGAATATTACTCAGGTAAATCAGCCTTCAGAAACTGGCTGCAGACAAGCTCTTTTACAAGATATATCTTTCATTAGCAGCACTAATTACTTGAATGCTAGACATCTATAGTAAGAGGTGAGTAAACGGCTTTACAGAAACAGTAACAAACTGAAATATGTAGGAATGACAGCAGGTGGTAGAGCATGTGACATCAGATTTGCCAAGTACAATTTGTATTCTCTCAGGTTCTACTTTATCTGCCAAACATTACCTTAACTCATCTTCTCTGAATCCAGCAGAAAAAAATTACTTTTCCCTAATTTTTCCAAAGTATTTGTTAATATTTTCAAGCAGTATTTATAGCCTCCTACCTACAGTCTGCTACTGATAAGCCTAATAATTAGAAATGAAAACATAGTAGGTAGCTACTCATATGGCTTTTAATCACAGCTGCTCGGGCAGCCACCCATATGTTACAGTGACTTCTTGCAACAGAAGTCAAAGGGGCACTAACAACCTTAAAGTATAACAAAAGGAAGATGTATGCATTAGGGCTATTCTTTATTAACTAGTGCATAGTGAAGAATACAAAAGCATGTAACTGGATTTTCCTGAAGGCCTAGATCGTGTCTGGAGCTAAACTGAGTCAAGAGGAATGTCAGAGAGCTCAGATTCACGTTCTCTCCCAAAAGCGTGTTTTCTGTCTAGGCTTCTGTGCATTTTACCTCAGGCATGGGGATAAAAAATGTAAAAGGCTCCATCTGTTGCATTGGCTCTGATCCACTTGACAGAGGACAGAAACCGTGGAAGTAAGAGGTGAGAAAACAGCACTGTAAATCCTCTTCCTCCTCTCCCTGCTCTGTCCTTCCCTAGTATTTAGTTCCCTAGGGGTAGGAGGAGTAGTCTCTTGTAGGTTGCTGCTTGCAAAATAAATGGGGTTGGGGTGCTTCATGCATCTTCTTCAGCCCTCCCATAGCAGCACAGGGACCACTCACAATTTAGACTAGGAGGTTGAAATTTCTTAAAGAAATAAAATGTTTTCCAAGAGTCAGAGAAAACAAAGGAGTCATTTTACCACTTAACCCAGCGTTTATTTCCTGGTTGGTTACTCTGCCACAAGCTGGTTTCAGTTCAGTTTTCAGAAAATGCTAGGCAAATAATAAATCAGGTTCAAGTTGGAACATTCCTTGCAATAGAGAGTTGTAGCAAGACAATGAAATGTCTCTCTAGACAATGGGACTGCGTGCACCCTATCTCATCAGTAGAGTCTCATCGAGGTGAGTTACAGGATTAACAGCTTCTTCAGAACACCTGTGCAACACTACCTTAGCAGGTCACAACTTATCAAGATGATTCAGAATCTCTTGTTTTTCTCTATCAATCTCTTAAACCAAGCTTTTCCTCCAGAGTTATGGTAGCTTCTCTTTAACGCAACTGTGATATGATACACAAAGTGAACAGGCCCTCTTTTCAGCTGTATTAATCCAAATCAAGGACATGATACAGTTTTATTCCATTTGGCGGTTGCACAGTAAACAAAAGATCAGTTTTGTAGGAAGCACATCATGAGGCTGGAGAGACATGGTTTCATTCTGGATGACCGCTCTTTCCTCTCGTGAAAGGAAAAACACAGAGTACTCTGGTATCATGAGTCCACACTGACATCTAGTGATGAAAAAATTACAGTAGCCAGTGAGGAAACAACAAAAAGGGTGGCTGACAGGAATGAAAATCTAAAAAATATGGCAAATGAAGGCTCAGAGCATCCCTCCCGCTTTATAAAAGGAACTGACAGTTTGTGGATCTCTCCAGTGGCAAGGACTTGTGGCCCCATGAACTTGGGTTCTGTGGAGGCATCCTTTGGAGAATGAATGGCACAGGGTTTGGCAGTCAGACACGGAGTGCAACAATCACTGTCTGCCTGTGCAGAAGGACACAAAGAATCGAGACAAAACAGTTGTTAATTATTTTGTTTGTTAGGTACTGCTCCATGGGGGGCTTGATCAGAGGCAGCATAACTAATAGACTTCTGCTGCCAATGGCCCGGTAATCTTGATTTCATAAACTGAGATTTCACAGAGATGAAACGTTACCTTCCAATCCGAGGGGACAATTCCCTGGTAAATCAAAAAGATTTTCTCCCTCTGTAAGCTTTTTCCAGAGAAATGGATCATTTGTTTAGTAGAGGCTTTTAGTTTCAATGTTCTCTTATCTCCCATTTTGATATAAAACAGTCTCATCATTTTTCTATACAAAAAAAAAATTCTTAATATTTTACCATGCCTTTAAAAGCAGATAAAGACTGAAAAACAAAATATTTGTGATTGCTCATTGTAATTTCTGTATCTTCTAGGGTGAAGTAAAAAGTAATAATAATGTACAGAATAATGAGTATTTTTCACTGTCTTGACTGCCAGCACACTTCCTTTGCTGTCACCAAGGAAAATGTAAGATTAAAACCGTGTGCTCTGTGCGCTTCAGAAGTGATATATGCGTGTCAGTGTTCTATAAATCATCAAAGGAGGAGAGCAGAAGGACAGATCCAAAGCCACTGAGATCAATGGACTTTTTTTCCATTGAATCCCATGAGCCTTGGATGAAGTCCCAGGGGAATGTCAGAGCTCTGCCAGCCTCACTGAGAAACTGTAGTCCAAATGCTGGCATGCTGCTTGGCAAGTCGCAACAGTCAGGTTAAGCAGAGGGTGGCAGATGTATCCTCCAAATAGGGAATCCTGTTGTTCGCAAGCAGCATTTCACAGCGGGACTCAGCACAGGATACTTCCGGTTTCTCTGCATGGAGGCAAAGCAGGTGCTAACCTACCAGCCATAGCTGCATGTGATGACTAGTCTGGTGGCCAGACTTCTTTCTCCAGAAGCCCAGAAGCCCTCTAGTGTGCACTGGAGCACATTGGCCAACTGCTGCCTCACAACAGCTCTTACCTCCTCTTCTTTCACTGTGCAGCAAGCAGCAAACAGCAGGATTTAGCCATTAGAGAAAGCCTCACAAGGAAGTGTGGCTCTCATCATGTCAGTCATACCCTTCCTGCCCTTATAGTTTGAAAGCCCTAGTATAGCAATATAATTTCTTCTTCTAATGCTTGCAGTTCTGTATTTTTCTGAGTAATAAGCATACAGAAATAAGCATATTAGCACATCTAGGCTGTATTTTTTTCACCTCATATAATCAACAACCATATGCAGATTTTAAAAGCACCTCAGACTCTTGTGTCTGGACTGGACAGATTGGGACAGACAGGGAGGATTGGCAGGCCCAATTAGACCATGAGTAGCATAAGTTGCTGTCAAAAAATAAGGATAGAGCAGGAGAAAGCATGTGGCATCTCTCACTAGATAAGCTATAATGATTGGCATGCTCAGTCGGAAACATTCTTTTCCTGATTTAATGGGGGCTTACAGTACTCTAAACACAAATTTTCTCACAGCTGAGACCATGCAAATCAATTATTAAAACCTAGGGTTAGATCCTGATGTCAGTTTAAAATCCGTTAATATCAGTAGAATTACGCCAAATTTACACTGTTGGACCAAGGTGCAAAACTTAACCCGTAATTGTCATTAGGAGCAAAAGCATGTGAAACTGTATCAAATGTCTAGAAGAGGTAGCACTTAGGATTTTTTATTTCCTTGAAATAAAAAAAAGACTAGTAAAAAACAAATATAAAGAATAGTATAACGTTGAATAGAATAACATAGGATTTAACAAGGTAGAGTAGAGTAGAGTAGAGTAGAATAGAATAGGATAACAATGTCAGGAATTTAGAAAAATTCCTTGATGAAACTTAAACACACAGAAAAATCTCCCTAGATGTTTATTAATATCATTGAATTAAATCACTTAAGCTTAGATGTCATCATATCATTTTCTCATCCATCCCTTCCTTCCCAATTTTTAAGAGGACCCAAAGAGCATGCAATTTGACAGTAGCAAATTATTCAAGCAGGTGCTACTAACATTTTAAAGCTGACTAGTTTGCAGAGCATATTCAGTGCAGTGAATGAATATCCAGCATGAATATATTCAGCTGACATTAGTTCCTAAGCTTTTAGGAACAGAGTATCTTAAAAGCAATGCTTTTTTCAGTACGGGACTAGACAATAATGGATATAAGCACAACTAAGAGCATTGACTTGCTTTGTCCAGACTACAATCTATTTTTATGACATTTCAAATATATTTTGGGGAACGGCGATTTAGGTTAAATGGTAATAATTTAGTGTTTTGTGATTATTTTTAAATCAATGACTGGATCCTCTGACTTGCGCTTAGAAGTGAGATTCAGTAAAGAGAACAGACATACTCATATAAAGAGCATGAGTAAGGGCT